GAGATAAATCAATAAAGTAATCAGCGAGCAGTGAAGGCAACTGACCCTGTGTGGTGAGCTGAGCGTGAGCTCTGAGCAGCCAGCCGACTGAATCCATCACCTTCCTGAACAGAGACACACACTGACAGACAGACAGACGGACGGACGGAGGTCAACGCTGACAGTTAAACAAGAGTTTAAAAGATGTAAAGAATCACAGCTGCTCACCTCGGCCCGCCTCATCAGCTGACTGGCCAATGACAGGAGGCCGTCTGTGACTGATGGCAGGAAGAGTCTGTGAAAGGCCTCTGAGCGGTCGCCAGGGTCCACCCCCACACAACAGGAGCTGCACAGACACACAGGTGTGTCTTCAGTCTACTTTGGGTCTCAGCACATTTAACAAACCTGCATTTAACAAGTGGGAATTCTGCCCAGAGAACAATTTTCAGTTGTTCAGCTGCTAAGTCAGGTTTACCCCAAAAAAGATCTTTTTTTTTTAAAGAGGAAAAAAGCAAGAAGTTGATTTAAATAATAAAAACACTTGTTCAAAAATGTCATTCAAATAAATAATTTAAAATACAATAAATTCAAAATACAATATGTAAATATAGATTTATAATACTGAAGAATTCTTTTTTAAATGACTAATCTAAAATACTATTTTTTTTAAATAAATCAAAATACTGAAACTTAACTAAACTAAAAAAGTGCTAAATTTTATATAAAAAAATCTGAAATGATTTAGAATACTGTAATGTTAAAATCTGACTTTTTTATATAAAACCATTAACAGAAATTCAAAAAATGTAAAATTAAAAATGTTTCAAATGATTTAAAAATATTGTAGATGTATAATACTGAAGACTAATCTCTAATCTAAAATACAAAAAAAATTTGAATAAATGAAAATACCATAAATATGAAAAATAAATCTGACATGATCTAAAATACTGTAATGTTAGAATATAACTTATATTCCAATTAACTGAATAATACATGTTCAATTAGACAAACGGAGATTTTTAAATATAAAACTATTTCTAAAGAAATGCTTTTTTAATTAAAATAAAATTCAGAAATGTTAAATAAATTAAGACAGTGGCAATTTTTAAAAATCTATTTTTAAGATTTAAATTGATGAATTGAAAAAGAATAATAATCTAAATCCTCCCTGTCAGTGAATGACTAACACATTTACAGTAAATCTGTCTCAGATGTACCTGGCGAGCTGGGCGAGCGTGGCGGCGGCGCTCCAGTTCCCCCGCAGCCTTCTGGGATCCAGAGAGAGGAGGAGGACGCAGTGACTCAGGACGCCGCTCAGATACAACTGAGACTTCACACGAGTCAACACACGGCTGTCTGTGTGCAGCGCCGCCATGTTCAGAGCCTCTGACAGAGACAGAAAGACAAAGTTTTATAAAATAATCCAAGATGGTTTTCACTGCACATCTCCTGCTCTGTGTAGAGGTGCACTGAGGTGTCCGGTCTCCATTTAAAATCATTATCTGGACTTGTTGGCAGCGTTTACTAGACGTCTCTTAATGCACCTGAACGCAGCATCAGTTTGGTCTCTGTGAGTTTAAACCTTCTGATGCGAGGAGCTTTGTTGCGTGTTTCCCTCGACCGTGCAGCGAAACCACAGTCAAAAAAGACACCATTACTCGTTAATCAATTAGTCTATAAATGCCGATCGTTCCCTGATTTCAGCTTCACATATCTTTGAGTTTTGGACCGTAGGTTGAACGAAACAAGACATCTGATGTTGTCACCTTGAACCTTTTATGACATTTTGAAGATTAAGTAAATAACAGATGAATCAGGAAGATATTTGTTGTTATTTGCAGCCCTAAAAGACACAGAGAGACAGATGGGAGGGACAGACATGTATGAGACTCACTGTTTAAGCCGTTGTTCAGCAGGAGGACTTTCTGCTCCGGGTTCAGGTCTTCATCCTCCAGCTGCCTCTTCAGGTCCAACACCACCGCTTCCTCCTCCTGCGGCTCCATCCTCACTGTGACGGCCTTAAATTCTGAGGTTCCTCTAGAAAGACAAATAAAAAACCTAACTTACAGGTTTCCCCCTCTGTTCCAGAGATCATTTTCCAGGACTTTTCCAGGACACTTTCAGTGATGATCTAGCTGGTACAGACAGCGATCTCGTCATACACGTCTGATTTTAAACACGTGTAGTTTGTGGCTATAACTTATCAAAACATCTGTTACATGAGCAGAAATGATGACAAATTGATCTTGGCTTGTTTAAACCTTTGTTTTAATATTGTTTTTATTCTTTTTAGTATTGTCTTTGTATTATTTGTTTCTTTTGAAAAGTCCTTTGTGTTCTGTGCTTTTCTTTCTTTTAACCACTGCCGCCTGAATGCCAATAACTGAACAAATAACAGCCAACAATTTTGCCTGCTTAGAAAGTCCAGCATTGATCCTCAGCTTTCTAAAATCACAACCACACTTTATTCAAACTTCACAGTGAACTTGGTGTATTGATGTGCACCTGGGACGGTGTGCAGTATAAAAAGTCAAGACCACACGTTCGCCCCTTTACTAACAAAGCTAATCTCACAACCCGCTGCGACCCAAACATGCTGATCAATTTAACATGCTTAACATGTTTGAGCTGAGAGGAAAACGTTAATCTATAAACCTAATAAAATCTGCTGCAGTTCAAAGCCAGCAGTGACTCATATTTACCTTTGAAGGACAATACAGTTTACATTACTTACTGTGGGGGTGTTCATAATATATACATATAACATCATGTTTAAATAATGTAAATATTTTCCAGGACCTTTTACTTTTATCTCATTCTTCAATGATTGGAAAATTGGACAACTCTGTTCAAGGTTTTCCAGGAAAACAGGAAGCCTGGAATTCTGCAGTCAGTCAGATTCTGAGACCTGATTTCCATTTTTAAGGGGTTTTTTTCCTTCTTTTTCTCATGGTCACATTTCTCTGTCCTGTAATCGCAAACATTGTGACGCCGCGATATTCAGATGGGAACCCAACAGGAGGAGAGCAGCGTATTATCAGAGTGTCCGTAGAGCTCGTAACACCTCACCTGTCAATATCTGGCCGATACTGTTTCTCTCGCGTCACAGAGTTCGACGGGTGACGGATTTCTGTGTAACACCCGTTAGCTCCAGCGGTAACTTAGCCGCGTTTTTGTCGTTTCAGCTGAAGCTAAATGTTGATAGTTCCGTTGACCGAAAAGGGGGGAAAGTAACGTTAACTAGCTAAACAGCCTTCACACCGACTCGTGAACGCTTGAAAGCGGATTTAGAAACGCTGCGGAGCAATTAAAACAACGTTTTCCAGCTCGCGTTACAGCCGTTACGTTCAGCGTTTAGCAGCCGAGCAAGCGGACGCTCTTCTGTTCCTACGGCAACACGATGACGTCATCACGCTGCGACGACGCACCGACGTTCTGCACCAAAGTGGACAATTATCTGTCTGTCTGTCAATCTGTCTGTCTGTCTGTCTGTCTGTCTGTCTGTCTGTCTGTCTGTCTGTCTGTCTGTCTGTCTGTCTGACTGTATCATCTTTTAATTAATTATTATTAGTATTTGTTTCCAAAGATAAACACAAACATTTATAGAAGCAATAAACTGAACGTGAACTCGTGTGAACTGAAAGTACACCAGGATATGAATTAAATTTTTCCTCTATATAAATATTTACTAGTGCAATAAAAAAAAGGTTTTTAAAAAGCGCACGCTCCTTATTTGAATCATGTGTGTTGACAGGAGGCTGCTGTGTGTTCGTTTGGCCTGTGGGTGGCGCTGTAGATTCAGCTTCGTTCATTCCTCTGCATGTCTTCACTTTTTCTCTTGGTTTCTTAAACTGCACATATAAGTGACTGCTGGAGAAATATCACGGTACTTTTTTACTATTATGTATTACTACTATTATAAAGTTATTCTTCCTCTGATGATTTAAAAAAAACACTGTTGTTAATCGTTTTAGTTTATTTTTTAATAATGTCCCCTTTGTAAAGTTTTGCATGCATCTTTTTATGGATACTGATATATTTGTTTGTGTCCCCTGTTTGCTCCTGACTCTTTTTGTAATGTAAGCCTATATGAAAATATTCAGTGTGTAGTTATTTAGTGTATTTTCAGAAGGATATAGTATTGCATAATTTTGGATGAAATGTGCTTAATGAATAAAGTTTTATTATCATTATCATTTGAACTTTTCTTTAGCATAGTATTTATTATTATTATTATTATTATTATTGTTGTTGTTGTTGTCGTTATTGTTAATTTATCATCATCGTCGTCCTTTGTTGTTTGTAATAAAGACTTTATATGTGGAATATAATACAATAGCCTATGATATGCAATATTATGATATGCAAGCAGGAGGAGACAACATGAAGATACTCAAACTCTCATAATTACAAAACAACTATACTTTTCCCCATTTTTTTAATTTACGAATAAATATTTAATATGTATATAATATAAAATAACACAATATAATAAACATCATATCAGAATGTAATCTTATATAAAATAATAATAATATAATATCATGGGCTATAAATAATCACGTCGGTGTTAATAGTAACGGGACCGACGGTAACGGGACCGTCAGTAGTAACGGAGAGGCGGGTTGTGTTAATCGGTGCAGCAGCTGCTGCAGCCCTCCTCGTGCACAGCGCCCCTCTCTCTCCCCGGTGCGCCTGCGTGCTGAAACACACACCAACCGACCGAGCGTCCGCTGCCCGGACCGGCAGGAGGAGAGAGAGAGGGACCGGGGCTGGTGCGAACTTCACGGTAACGGGAGCTGCGGGCAGTAACGGTGACGTGATGTGATGCGATGCCGCGCGGAATCACGGTAACGTAAGAACAGCAGCAGCGGAGGAGGAGGAGGAGGAGGAGGAGGAGGAGGACCGTCGAGCCTGAGCCGAGGAGGATGCAGCAGTGACCGACCGGAGGGGAACACATCCGTCCGTGCAACGGTGCGAACCGGGAGTCCTGGACCGACCCGATCTGATGTAAACCCGCAGGGATGGACGGGTAGGCAGGGAGGAGGCGCGAGGAGCGGAGCAACCGACGGTACATAACGGAGGAGAGAGCGCGAGGAGGAGGAGGAGGAGGAGGAGGAGGGAGGCGCAGGAGCAGCGCCAGGAGGAGGAGGGAGGATGAATCCGGTGGATGGAGGAGGAGAAGCGGGCCCGGACGGCCTGGCGACGGCAGGTAGGATGTGTGTGCGCGCGTGTGTGTGCGTGTAGTGGGAGATGCTGTCGCCATGATGCCTCCACATCCGCCCATTGACTCGGATAATGTGTGTGTGTGTGTGTTATAAGTGTGTGTCAGCATCCCACTGTCCAATGGTACTGAGGTGTGTGTGAGTGTGTTGGGGGTGGAGGGTCCCACCGAGGAGGATTGTGGGAAGGCCTTCTAGGTTGTTAATGTGTGTGTGTGTGTGTGTGATATAATGTGTGTAGTAATAACGTTACAGTCTGATGGTAACATAAGCTGCTGAGATGTGGTCACGTGATGCTTTCATTTTCCATTCATGCCAATGGAGGAAGTAATGTAGTATAATTAGCAGTATTACCACCCAAACATACTGGTTTCTGATTGGCTGGCAGGTGTCAATGAAGATCATATATGGGGAAACCATGAGTTTAACCACCTCAATATTAACCTGCAGGTAACCACAGCAACGGTAGTGATGCTTCAAGCGAGGTTACTTTCTTACACACGGGCTTATTTATTATTAAACATACAGGAAATATGAATTAAAAAGTCCGTGGATGCACATTACGGGTCATTTCAGCCGTTTACCGAGCCTCAGGGCAGCAGGAGGCGAATAGCGACATACGTGAGCCAAATCTGGACTCCGACAAAAATATCTGGCCTCCTGACAGAAGCTGGGGATTTTCATTTTGTAGTTTGGACTGTGTCTCCACTGTGGGGGGTGGGGGGCCAAACAAAGTACCAAACAAAAGTGCTGTGGTGTACCAGAGGAACATTCAGGGGGCTTTACAAGTCCCGACCTGACAACCTGACATTTTGCTTGTAGCAGCAAAAACATGCAGAGCAAGAAGATGATGCAGAGGCAGTATTCTGATGGAGCAGTGGCCTGTTGTTGTTCAGGAAATTTAATCAGACTTATCCGAGGGTTACAGAAGCCTAAAGCAAACCTGGGGCCGTGTAGGATTTCAGCGAGCGTGAAGATATGAGTTAGCTTAAGGACTTTTACCGTAAAGAAGCCAGAGGGCTTTCACTCTGCCAGGAGGCTTTAAATGGTAAGTGGACTACATTATTCTGCTGACCACTCAGTGCTTTCAAACACATGCCAGCTTTCACCCATTCACACACTGAGGCAAGGTGCCAAGGTGTGGTCCTCAGGAAGGGTTCAGTGTTTGGGCATCAAATCAGGACCCGCCCAAAGACTTCATGACAGCTCTACTTCCTTTACTGCGAAAGGTTTGGGAGGGCTTTTACTGTGAAAGAGCAAACTGGGTTTTACTTTGAAACATCAGGTTTGTTTTTTCTGTGAAGCACCTGAGGGACTTTTACTTTGAAATGTCAGGTTGGACTTTTACTTTGAAATATCAGTTTGGGTTTTACTGTGAAGCAGCTGGGGGGCTTTTACTTTGAAATATCAGGTTAGGTTTTACTGTGAAGCAGCTGGGGGGCTTTTACTTTGAAATATCAGGTTAGGTTTTACTGTGACGCAGCTGGGGGACTTTTACTTTGAAATATCAGTTTGGGTTTTACTGTGAAGCAGCTGGGGGGCTTTTACTTTGAAATATCAGGTTAGGTTTTACTGTGAAGCAGCTGGGGGGCTTTTACTTTGAAATATCAGGTTAGGTTTTACTGTGAAGCAGCTGGGGGACTTTTACTTTGAAACATCATGTTGGGTTTTACTGTGAAGCAGCTGGGGGGCTTTTACTTTGAAATATCAGGTTAGGTTTTACTGTGAAGCAGCTGGGGGAGTTTTACTTTGAAACATCATGTTGGGTTTTACTGTGAAGCAGCTGGGGGGCTTTTACTTTGAAATATCAGGTTAGGTTTTACTGTGAAGCAGCTGGGGGGCTTTTACTTTGAAACATTAGGTTGGATCGAGTTTTAATGAACTAAAATCCTTTGGACAACGAGTCTTCTAGAGGCCAATTTTATCGCAGACACAAAACGTGAGATTCTGTGTATATGTCAGCCGATAATTAACAACAAACTGCAGCAGAGATTCTTTTTATTTTGACCAACAATAAAATGTGACCATGGCAGGCTTAAGCAATCTATTTATTCATTAACATGAGTATTTTGATATTTGTGTTTGTATGATGGGGCAGAGGCCTAAATAACGACACTTATAATAGGGTAAACCCACTCCACTGATGACCTAGTCTGTTTTGCTGCTTCTTTTTTATGTTTTAATCTTGTTTTATATGTTCTAGATATGTTTGTTTTCAAAAAGTGATGCCAAAATATATATTTGCCTACGTACGGTCATCAGAGTTCTCAAATATCACGCCAGCCTCGGCCCGGCTCTGATGTCTTCATGTGAAAGAGGCTGGCATTTCGGAGACTCAGAGGACATTGTAGTGAAACGTATTCATTAGCTTTTGTTGCATAATCAGGGTGATGAGTCCTGACAGACTGACAGCAAGTTTCTCTGAAGGCTTTTCATCTGCTCTGTGCAGCAGCTATTTTAGGCTTTACACTGACTCAATGTGTGTGCCTGTTATTTTGTGTGAGACAGCTTTATCACAATGGAAATCCCTTCTCCAACTCCCTGCGCTGGTCCGGAGTCAGCTTGATTGACAGCTGGTCCAGGATCATTCAGCCTGACAGGCAGCTGATCAGGGATCATTCAGATTCCTAATTGAGTTTTTTTTAATAGCAGTTAGTCAGGAGCAGCCTATGGTTGAACACACTGGATTCAGACACGGTGTCATGTTTACAGCCCCAACCCCCCCCCCCCCAACACCAACGCCTCATTAGAGACTTCTGCTCTCAGACCTGTTATATATTGACACCAGGTTTACCCAAGTCTGTGGAAAACCATCCTGTTTTGCTATTCGGCCCATTTATTCACACAGGACGGCCGATGTGCTGCAGGAGTGGTGATTTAATGATCAGCAGTGATAAGGAACAGCCTGTTCTCATATTTTTATTAATGACCCACACACAGAAATAAAACCTCTCAGCAACAGCCTAGAAATCACATTTATATACTCCAAATTAGTCTTAGCCGTTCTGTTCCCGTGCTGCACTGAAGATGTAGGGAGGCGGTCGGGGTGGGTGATGAAGATTTGAAGTTTAGGTTCATGACCTGCATCCTGCGAGTCGTTGAGGTAGCAAAAGCAACTACTTGGCTACGGCTAGGGAAAGATTAATGTTAAACACGTCCTGTTTTGTGCATCAGGTCAGTTAACATTAACCAGGACCATCATCGTTGACTTGGGAGCGAGAATGGGTTCGTCACTTAATTAACTGAATAATATACTAAACGTTTCAGCTATACATGCAGTTCAAAATGAACACATTTGTAAGGAATAATGCACTCTGAGGTGTCTCGTTAAGGAAAATAATGCATGTGGGAATGTTTGACTCCTCCTCATCCTTTAATTTCATCATCCTGGGCCTTTCTGTGTGGAGTTGCACAATTAATCGAAACATTTTTCGCGATTACAATTTTATCTTCCAACAATTAAATGAATGTGATCAATGGCGATGTTGCCGTTTAAGATGCGTGCTCCGCTCATGGAAAACTCTGCTGCAAATCAAATCAAGCGCTTCCTAAACTTACAGCCAGTGGGGTGATGTGCATTCTCCATCCTGCTACTACAGTCCAGAGCAGCCAGCAAAGTCCACGAGTCTGCATGTTTCTGCTGAGCCGCAGCTGCCGGAGCTGGTCGGGCCCTTCTAGTTGGGATCAGGAGCCTTACTGTATCAAGGCTTGACCTGTGTTTGTGTAGATTTGTGTTTTCGGGGCTATGACACAGTTAAAACAGGGCATCCACCAGAATCCTCTGATAATCCATCAGCGGTCTCAGGCCAAACAATTACTCTAGATTTACCAGACAGTAAATCTGGGTCTGAACTGTGGGAGTGGGCTTGAGGAGACGGATGGGCCCACTGGGAGGAAGTGATTCAAGGACAGTAATGAAGGAGAAGCAGGGCACCGTTAGGAGGCAGTTCAGGTTGTGTAAATTTGAGCGTTCTCCTTCATCTCCGTCCTGTTTTTAGGTTTTCTCTCAGAGGGTTATCGCCGCTCGAGCTGCTAATGTGAGATGTTTAATGCCCTCGGTGTGTGTGTGCGTGTTGGATTAGCTTCCTCCCGCTGTGCAGGATGATCTGACGCACATGGGAGGCCTGTATATCTGTCTGCTGCAACACACACACACACACACACTGAGCTGCAGGAGTCGGCTTTTTAATTGAAATGTCAGTCAGCTCGTCTCTCTGACGCCTGATTGGCTCATTTTGGTGGACGGGTGGAAAGAGTTTGATGTTGTTTGCTGGGCCCCCTTTTTCTCTAAATTGTATTATTACATTAACTGAAAATGAGGCTGTGGTGTTGGTGTTTACCAAGAACTGATGAGTGATCTTAACACAGACGGACTTCACGGTCTGAGGGTCTGTGTGGTGAATCACTGTGGTTAAAGAAGAGTAGCAGCGGCGCCGGCTGGTAGATTTACCACTTTGGTTCACGCCGGAGTCAATGGGAGCTATCTGACCTATAGCAGAGCTATGGAGCCATGTTTCCACACGAGTGGCTCCCAGTTCTGTTTATGTACACAAGCAGGTTCCTGCTGCCAGTTTCATACAACTCCACTGGCTGACAGTTGCTGGTGGTAATGAGCCATGAAATACAGCGATGTGCCTGGAAATGTTGCAAAGAAGAAGACTGCATGCTAAGAAACACCAAACTACCAAACTGTTTAGTATGCCAGAAAGATATTTAGTACATCCCAGTACATAGTGTGTCAAAGTATGCCAAAAGCACCAGGTTGTCCGACTACACCTGCTCGCATTTTGCAGACTGCAAGCCAGCATGCTTTTCTGGCTATTCTGACCCACAATCCTTTGTAAGGGCAGCTGCAGTAAAAGTAAAGAGAAAAGGTGAAGTGTGATTTAGAACCCAACAAATCTTTGTTTTGTAAATGTTTATGAGGTTTACATTTGTTAGACCGGGGGTTACGTACAGCAACCCAGATTCTATGAGTAAAGGCGCAGCCCTCTAAGGCTGTCACTATTGGGTTTACCCCTTCCACGCCTGCGCGGCACTGAGAATTTTAGTCTATGCCCTCTCCTACGTCCGCACCTTGTATTGGTGAGACCCAGCCATCGGCTCCCAAATGCCTTTTCTTCAGCACTGAGAACCGAGGTCCAGTGAGACCTACAACTTAGAGGGCTACGCCTATACTCATAGAATCCGGGTTACAGTACATAACCTCCTTTCTATTTCGTATAGGCTTCGCCCTCTAAGGCTATCGCTATTGGGTTAGAGGCGAAGCAGGATGAGTCAACGCCTCACTGGCCCAAACGGTACCACCAAGCACAACTCACCTGCCCAGAGCCATAATGAGACACCCAGTTAAGGCGCGTAACGGGCCTGCGCCTCCACACCCCCTAAGGAAACGCTTCACCAGGGTGTGGTAGAACACAGTCCTGTCCCCGAAGCCCTCATGACAGGACGAAATAGCGGCAGTGTAGGTTGTACTGAACGCCAGCCCCCCATCCATGAGCAACTGGAGGAACGAAAGCACCGCAGCAGGAGGAGGCCCAGGGGGACCACCATGTGAGCCGCCGTCATGAGGCGCAGAAGCCTCATGACCGACAGAGCTGCCACCGCCGCTAGAGGGACAACACAGTGGAGCAGCTCCACCAGAGCATCCACCCTCTCCTGAGAGAGCCGCGCTCTCCGTAGAGAGGAGTCCAGTACCACGCCAAGGTAGGTGATTCTCTGGGAGGGGAGAGGAGCACTCTTCTTCCAGTTCACTGTGAAGCCCAGGTAAGACAGGTGTGCGACTAGCTGGGCCGTCTGCACCACCGCTTCGTCCCGGGGCGGCGCCAGCAGCAGCAGGTCGTCCAGATAAAACAGGACCCTGATGCCCGACCTCCGCAGCGGCTCCAGGGCTGTATCGACACACTTGGAAAAAGTGCGCGGGGCCAGGGAGTTACCGAAGGGCAGGGGGTTGTATTGTTACTGGGCGCCCTGGAATGAAAACCGCAGAAACTTCCTGTGTCCGGGAATGACAGACACAGCAGCTGGGTCACACCGTGTGGGAAATGTGTACTTGGTTCGACTGAGACAAGCACAAACAGCATTTGTTCAACAACTTCCACAAAAAGGAGCAACAACATTTCGTCCAGCAGCAATGAAAACGGCTGCTAAATGTCATTAGCCACAACTAATGTGGAGTAACGTGGGCACGGGGTCTCCCTGGTCACCTGATCCAGGCAGACCACATGTCAGCGTCATGTTAGCTATCCATTAGTTCCTAGTTCGCTTACCTCGCAGCGGCAACCTACTAACGCCGAGGCCGGCGTCATCGGAGGTCGGAACGGAGGAAGCGAGGAGCCGCTCGGAGACCCGTGAATGGGAAAAGTGGAGCCATCCAACTTCCGCTCTTCTGTCAACAGCAGATCGAGGGCTTCCTCCAGAGAGCAGGTGGACCACCACACCTCCTCGTCCTGAATGGCAAGCTATCCGCCCGGCAACGCCACTCTTCGGGGGGAGGTGGGGGGCGAACAAAGAGTGAGCACTCGGCTGGTGTTCTCCGGTCTGAGGCACGCCTCGCAGTGGGGACAGAGATCACCCAGCACGATGTAGCCCGTGTGGCAGACGCCGTGGCGTCTCGCCCTGTTCGGGCCGGCTTGCTGAAAGACATCGTTCTTCTTGTTTTCCAGCTGGAAAGTCGTTGCTCTTTAGTCAAATCTTCTGCTCTTTAGACAGCTTAGTGCTGAATAAAAATGGGAGCCCATGGCTGGGTCTCACCGTTGTATATATAGAAGGTGCGGACGTAGGAGAGGCCCACGCTGTGGGTGGGTGTAGAATTCTAAGTGCCGTGCAGGAGCGCGGAAGGGGTAAATCCAATAGAGATAGCTTTAGAGGGCGAAGCCTATAGGAAATAGAACTGAAAGATATCAGTGGTGTTAAGGACATTTACATACTTAAGTACTGTACTTGTACTTTACTCGAGTACAAATTTTAATTTTACAGAGAATATCTATAATGAGTTTCTAAAATTATTAGGGCTGGGCACGTTAACGCGTTATTTTCGCAGCAACGCATTAATTAATGAGCGCTGAGAATGATTTTATCACATGTTAATGCCTTTTTTATAATTTTTTTGAATGTCCGTTGCTCACTGGTTCTGAATCCACATCCAGTCAAACCATGGGTCAAAGGAGGGGTGGGATGTTAATCAGCCTGCAAATCAGCCACCCAAACTAGCAGCGGAGGGAGGCTTCGGCAGACTACGCTGCGAGTAAATGGCTTCTGTGCGCTACACAGCTGTAGCCTATTTAACTTAAGTTAAAATTATAGGCTCCATAACTTTACCTGACAGGCCATCATCTAGTTTTGCAGCTCTGCCATGTGAATTCCCTCCTGTTGATGTCCTATTTAGTAAACAGATTCTGGAAACTCACAAACAGCGAGGATCAGTCTCTCTTCCAATGATTTGGAACCTCACTCTGACAGGGACACTTGCTGCTGAATACAGACTGTTTCTGCTGCTCCCTGATAAAACAAATTTTTTTCTGCTGATACCTGCTCAGACAAAACAAGAAAACGGGACTCTGATGGTAACTTGTTTTAACCAGCTAGATAAAAGGTAATGCCCTGGCAGTGGCAAATAGCTTTGGTTTAATATTTGATTTGATTACATTAATGTTTAAGTTGAGATTTACAGAAATATTTTATTGCTACTGTGTAAAGGGAATACTGCTGGTAAAAAGCACTTTATTTGTTCAAAGTGTTTGCAAACCACATGTTATTGCACTTTTGTGTATATAGTAGTACATTTATATTAAAAGTGCGCAATACACTACTTTAGAATTCATTATTAAATTTTGCGCACAACAATGCGATTAATCGTAACAAAATCATGCAATTAATCGCGATTAAAAATTTGAATCGTTGCCCAGCACTAAAAATGATATATTGTTGAGGGTTAAACTACCTAATAGTAACATATAAAAAGTGCGGTAGTCAAAATTGGCTCCACCTCGACCAGCGACAACATTAATAGTAATGTTATAGTAATAATAATAGGATAAGATATTATACGGTAGCAAGTACTTTTTGTTGCCAATAATTATATTCTTTTATTGAAGTAAAATTATTAATGCAGGACTGTAACTTGTAACAAAGTATTTTTACAGTATTGAGAACTAGTTTTACGTGAGTAAAGGAAGTACTGCAGGATGTATACAATGGGATTTAGTTAAGAATATGGCTACAACTATAAAAATCTAAATGGCCAACTCATTTCCCTAAAATGACGCCATCGAATTGCTAATTCTGTCTGACCAACTCTGTAACAACATCTAAAGATAATAAATTTACTTTCACATAAATGAAAAGCAGCAAATCTTCTCAGAAGCTGGAGCTGGAATTTTATGCTTGAAAACTAACTGAAGAGATTACTCAATGATCGAAAGAGGTACAGAGGATTCTTCTGTTGACTGACTGTTTCTTAAATGGCGGCTCCAGGTGTATAAATCCTGAGGTCAGGTGACCACCTGAGGCTGAACGCCTTCTCTCCTGTCTGCCTCTCAGGTTCAGGGAAAGCAGAGTGTGTTCGGGCGGTCGACGTCCTGACGGTGCTCAGAGAGAAAGTGGCCTTCGTGTCGGGTAAAACACACACAGTCTTTCGCCCAGTTTGGTCCCGGTTTGGTCCTGATGTGACCCGGTTTAACAAACTGTGTTTTCCAGGTGGACGGGACAAACGCGGTGGACCAATCCTGACCTTCCCTGCCAGGACCAATCATGATCGAATAAAACAGGAGGACCTCAGCCGATTGGTCACGTACCTGGCGACCATACCCAGGTCAGTTTACCTGTCTGTCTGTCTCACAGTCTATGAAACTACAGAGGACGTAAGTGTGTCTTCCTCTCAGCAAGGTCTTTGTGCTCACACAGCAGCAGCCAGGTGAAGACGTAATGAGACAGGGCTGCCTTAACTTCCTGTCTGTCCGTCTGTCCGTCAGTGAGGACGTGCGTGCTCGTGGCTTCACGGTGGTGGTGGACATGCGTGGCAGTAAGTGGGACAGCGTGAAGCCGGTGCTCCGGACGCTGCAGGAGTCGTTCTCCTCCAACATCCACACGGCGCTGCTCATCAAACCGGACACCTTCTGGCAGAAACACAAGACCAACCTGGGCAGCGCCAAGCTCAGCTTCGAGGTACTACTTCTACTGAGAACTTCAATACTACTACTGCTAAATAAAGTACTACCTGACACTTTCTAGCAGAAACACAAGACCAGGCTCAGCTTCGAGATACTACTACTACTGAGAACTTTAATACTACTACTGCTAAATAAAGTACTACCTGACACCATCTAGCAGAAACAAAGACCAGGCTCAGCTTCGAGGTACTACTACTACTGAGAACTTTAATACTACTACTGCTAAATAAAGTACTACCTCACACCTTCTAGCAGAAACACAAGACCAGGCTCAGCTTCGAGGTACTACTACTACTGAGAACTTTAATACTACTACTGCTAAATAAAGTACTACCTGACACCATCAAGCAGAAACAAAGACCAGGCTCAGCTTCGAGGTACTACTACTACTGAGAACTTTAATACTACTACTGCTAAATAAAGTACTACCTGACACCTTCAAGCAGAAACACAAGACCAGGCTCAGCTTCGAGATACTACTACTACTACTGAGAACTTTAGTACTACTACTGCTAAATAAAGTACTACCTGACACCATCTAGCAGAAACAAAGACCAGGCTCAGCTTCGAGGTACTACTACTACTGAGAACTTTAATACTACTACTGCTAAATAAAGTACTACCTGACACCATCTAGCAGAAACAAAGACCAGGCTCAGCTTCGAGGTACTACTACTACTGAGAACTTTAATACTACTACTGCTAAATAAAGTACTACCTGACACCTTCTAGCAGAAACAAAGACCAGGCTCAGCATCGAGGTACTACTACTACTGAGAACCTTAATACTACTACTGCTAAATAAAGTACTACCTGACACCATCTAGCAGAAACAAAGACCAGGCTCAGTTTTGAGATACTACTACTACTGAGAACTTTAATACTACTACTGCTAAATAAAGTACTACCTGACACCATCTAGCAGAAACAAAGACCAGGCTCAGCTTCGAGGTACTACTACTACTGAGAACTTTAATACTACTACTGCTAAATAAAGTACTACCTGACACCATCTAGCAGAAACAAAGACCAGGCTCAGCATCGAGGTACTACTACTACTGAGACTTTAATACTACTACTGCTAAATAAAGTACTACCTGACACCATCTAGCAGAAATAAAGACCAGGCTCAGCATCGAGGTACTACTACTACTGAGAACTTTAATACTACTACTGCTAAATAAAGTACTACCTGACACCATCTAGCAGAAACAAAGACCAGGCTCAGCTTCGAGGTACTACTACTACTGAGAACTTTAATACTACTACTGCTAAATAAAGTACTACCTGACACCATCTAGCAGAAACAAAGACCAGGCTCAGCATCGAGGTACTACTACTACTGAGGACTTTAATACTACTACTGCTAAATAAAGTACTACCTGACACCTTCTAGCAGAAACACAAGACCAGGCTCAGCTTTAAGATAGTACTGTTTTACTGCTACTGATAACCTCAGTACTATTATTGATAAGTAACATAATAGCACTGATAACATCAGTACTAGTATTGCAAAAGTCAGTACTATAGCTACTAACTGTTGCTAACCAATGTATCACTACAGTTAAATGAAGTACTACTACTGTTGCTAAGTTATATAACTGATGCAAACTGAAGTACTGCTAGTGAGTTCCATAGCAGTAGAAGTACTCAGTCTGTTGCTGTACTAAAATGTTTTCATTTGGTTATCATTGTTTTAAGTCGTACTGTAGTTTCCTGTGTGTTCTTGTTGATGTATTGTAGTTCCCTGTGTGTACTTGTTGGTGTACTGTAGTTCCCTGTGTGTACTTGTTGGTGTACTGGAGTTCCCTGTGTGTACGTGCTGTAGTTTCCTCTCAGTACACCCCTTCTTTCTGTCCCTCTTCAGACCAGCCTGGTGTCGGTGGAGGGTTTGTCCCGGCTTGTGGACCCGTCCCAGCTGACCTCTGACCTCGGCGGCTCGCTGGAGTACGACCACGTGGAGTGGACCGAGCTGCGTCTGGGTCTGGAGGAGTTCTCTGGGGCCGCCACTCAGCTGCTGTCCCAGCTGGAGCAGCTGGAGGCCGGGCTGAACCGCATACCAGAGCCCCAGGACGTGGACGAGGCCCGCAAGTGAGGAAGACCCTAAGTCACACTTGTTGATTATTAAAAAGTTATTGATTATTTAAGGAGTTAGTGATTATTTAAAGAGTTATTGATTATTTAAGGAGTTAGTGATTATTTAAAGAGTTGTTGATTATTAAAGAGTTAGTGATTATTTAAAGAGTTATTGATTATTTAAAGAGTTGTTGATTATTAAAGAGTTAGTGATTATTTAAAGAGTTATTGATTATTTAAAGAGTTATTGATTATTTAAAGAGTTATTGATTATTTAAAGAGTTGTTGATTATTAAAGAGTTGTTGATTATTAAAGAGTTGTTGATTATTTAAAGAGTTGTTGATTATTAAAGAGTTAGTGATTATTTAAAGAGTTATTGATTATTTAAAGAGTTGTTGATTATTAGAGTTGTTGATTATTTAAAGAGTTTTGATTATTAAAGAGTTAGTGATTATTTAAAGAGTTATTGATTATTTAAAGAGTTGTTGATTATTAAAGAGTTGTTGATTATTTAAAGAGTTGTTGATTATTTAAAGAGTCATTGATTATAAAAGAGTTATTGATTATTTAAAGAGATGTTGATTATTAAAGAGTTAGTGATTAGGTATTACAACGTCAGAACGTATTTGGTAACTAGTTTTAAAGACATTTTTGTTTATAGAGTTATTTCCATATTTTCCAGACTCCTCGAGGAACACAGTCGTCTCCGTAACACCATCGCCACGGCACCTGTCGACGGCCTGGAGCGAGAGGGGCGGAGCTTGCTTCAGCGCATGCGCTTGGGCCCCTCCCACGGTGACGCCTCTACTGAAGGCAGCGGCGGTGGCGGCCACGGCAGCTGGCTGTCGGGCGGGGCGGACTTTCAGAGCGTTGCGCCGAAGGTTTCGTCTCTGCTGGACCGGCTGCAGGCGGCTCGCAGTCACCTGCTGCAGAGCTGGAGTGACAGGAAGCTGCACCTGGACCAGGCGCTGCAGCTGCACCTGTTCGAGCAGGACGCCACCAAGGTGAGGTTTACAGCTCACGGTTCATCTGTTAACAGACAGGACGAAGACATTGATCTTCTTTCTTACCTGAGGCCTCATTGATACGTTCTGCGTATGTCACCTACAGAACAACAGGCTGAAGCGGCTTTGTCTTGGATCACACTACCGGCTTGTCAGGATCCACCCTACTCTGCTTCTGATTGTTTCATAAGCTGAAGTGTCGCTGCTCTTTAACCCGTCTCTGTCTGTCTCTGTCCATCTCAGATGTCGGAGTGGATCGCTCACAGTAAAGAGTTGTTCATGCAGAGTCTGGCGGAGGTCGGCCAGAACCACCAGCACGCCCTCGACCTCCAGACACAACACCAGCACTTCACCGCCAACTGCATGGTCAGTCTGTGTGTGTGTGAAAGTGAAGACGTTTTAGGAAAGTGAGGACATTTTAGAAAAGTGAGGACAGTTTGGGAAAGTGAGGACATTTTAGGAAAGTGAGGACATTTCAGAAAAGTGAGGACAATTTGGAAAGTGAGGACATTTTAGAAAAGTGAGGACATTTTAGGAAAGTGGGAACATTTTAGGAAGGTGAGCACATTTCAGAAAAGTGAGGACATTTTAGAAAAGTGAGGACAATTTGGAAAGTGAGGACATTTTAGGAAAGTGAGGACATTTTAGGAAAGAGAGGACGTTTTAGGAAAGTGAGGACATTTTAGGAAAGTGAGGACATTTCGGGAAAGTGAGGACATTTTAGGAAAGTAGGGCCATTTTAGAAAAGTGAGGACATTTTAGGAAAGTGAGGACATTTTAGAAAATTGAGGATATATTAGGAAAGTGGGGACATTTCAGAAAAGTGAGGACATTTTAGGTAAGTGAGGACTTTTTCGAAAAGCGAGGACATTTCGGGAAAGTGAAGTAATTTCGGAAAAGTGAGGACATTTGTAACACGTTTGTCCTGAATGAGTCGTCTGTGCGTCTCGCTGCAGAACGGCAGCGTGAACGTAGACAGCGTGGTGACCGTGGCGGCGAGGCTGGCGGAGGCCGGTCACTACGGGGCAGAGCGAATCGCCATGGTGTCGTCACGGTTACAGGAAGACTGGAAGTCCCTGACGACGACACTGGAGGAGCGGAGCAACACGCTCGCCATGGCAACCGGCTTCCACCAGGGGGCAGAACAGGTGACACAATCAGGATCACCAGCAGCATACACCTGCACGTCTACCTGTTTTTTACCTGTCTTTTACCAGTCTATGTACTATACCTGTCCACCTGTCTGTCTTCTTCTCTATCTACCTGTCTTTTACCTGTTTCACCACCAACCTTTGTACCTGTCTGTATCTGCCTCTTTACCCCTTTATGTCTACCTGCCTGTCTGCCTCTCTATCTTCCTGTCTACATTTTGTTGTCTTCCTGTCTGTCCACTATTTTACCTGTTTTGCTTTTATCTTCCTACCTGTCTGTCGCTCTACTTGTCCAGTTCCTGCTCAGAGTGGAGGGCTGGGTTCAGACGTGCTCTGAAGGGACGTTGCCTTCAGCGACAGCAGAGCTGGAAGCTGCAACAAAGAAACACCAGGAGCTGAACGAGGAGATCTCTGCTAACTACACACAGGTACCTGTCTGTCCACATACCTGTCTATCTCAACACCTGTCTGTCCACGTACCTGTCTGTCTCAACACCTGTCCGTCTCAACACCTGTCTGTCCACGTACCTGTCTGTCTCAACACCTGTCTGTCTCCCCACCTGTCTGTCTGACTGACTACCTGTCTGTCTGCAGGTCAGTGAGAGTGGTAAAGCCTTATTGGATGTCCTCCAGCGTTGCCCGGCGGCCGACTCCGATGACGCAGCCACCAAACCAGACTTCAGTGCTGCCACGCATGGCATCATGGGAGTTCTGCACCAGGTCATGCAGGTATGGCTTACGAGACATAACGTCCCACATCCATCAGTAGAGAGCAGACCTCACTGACCAGCAGACAGACAGACAGGTGGACTGATTTTAAGTCTTCTCTTTATTTGCAGGGTCACCATGAGGTGGAGGGGGCGTGGCAGCATCGTAAGCTCCGCCTCCACCAGCGCCTGCAGCTGTGTGTGTTTCAACAGGATGTTAGACAGGTATGATACATTCAGACACAGATCCAGACTGAGATTAACATCAGACCTTAGGACCAGATTCTTCTTATCCAGTTAATATTAACATCAATATCAGAAAATATTTACATACTGATTTGAATCATTAAGACTTAAATACACTGAATTTAACCTATAAGCCACAATTATGAGATATTAAGTCAAAATCTTGACCTACCGTGTGGAAATGTTTTTATTAAACAAAAGCACCTGTCTGTCTCTCAGGTGTTGGACTGGGTGGAGCAGCACGGTGAGGTTTTCCTCAACAAACACAGCGGCGTGGGGAAGTCTCTGCACCGCGCGCGAGCGCTGCAGAAACGCCATGACGACTTCCAGCAGGTCGCACAGGTAACACATCCACCACGCTCAAGGCCAGTTTATACTTCTGCGTCAAGTCCACTACGGCGTAGACTACGTGTCGACCAATCACAGGTCTTGCTGCCTACGTCGCTGCGACATGTGTAGAGTCAACGCAAAATAAATAATAAATCTGACCATGAGCTTTTCTAGCCAAGAGTTTACACCGAGCTAACCTGCAACAAGGCACATCCACACATTTATCTCAACATAAAATGGCTGTTCAGCTTCCCTAAGTGATCAATATCCTGCTACACGTAAAGTAAAGATCAGTAAGTGTAAATTCAACTGTTAGAAAGGTGAAACACTAAATAAATGAAAGTGTGTGTAGCAGGTGTTAATGCAGCTGGTGGAGACTTTGTGAGGACTTAATCTCAAAAGCAGGATTGTTCACCATGATGTGTGTGTGTGTGACAGAACACTTACACTAATGCAGAGAAGCTTCTGGAAGCAGCCGATCAGCTGGCTCAGTCTGGAGAGTGTGAGGAGGAGGAGATCTACCAGGCAGCCCGAGACCTGGAGCTCCGCATGCAGGTAAGGAAGTCTGGACTTCTGTTCAAAATGGCCGACGCCCTGTTTCAAACAGAAAGGACAAACACCAATGCGCCGCAGGTGATGTGTTGTTAATGTGTGTATTTAATATTGTGTTGTGTGTTTGCAGGCGTTCATCCAGAGAGTTGAACAGAGGAAGCTGCTGCTGGACCTCGCTGTGTCTTTCTACACACACACCAAGGAGGTAACAAACACACACACACACACACAATTAATACACTGTCATTAACTGTGATATCTGCAGTGTTTTCCTGTTATAAGTTTATTATTGTGAGTCAATGAATGTTTTTCCTCGTCCTCCTCCTCTCCTGATCTCTCCCCCCTCCACTCCTCCTCCTCCCCCTCCTCCTCCTCCTCCTCTCCTCTCCTCCTCTTCTCTCCTCCTCCTCCTGCTCTTCCTCCTCCTCTCCTCCCCTCTCTTCCTCCCCTCCTCCTCCTCCTCCTCCTCAGCTCTCAGTATGGATGGAGGGCCTCCAGAAGCAGCTCTCCTCAGATCTCTGTGTTTGTCCGGACACCGTTGAGGCTCTGCAGGCTCTCATCAGCCAGCAGCAGCAGCAGCAGGCCAACACGCAGGTACCTGCTGACCTCTGACCTCTACGCCTAACCCCGTCATAACAACCTAACACCCCCCTGACCTCTGACCCCTCAGCTCTAACCCTCACACTAACCCTGAATCTAACCCTGACCCACAGGAAGCTGCGATGAGTGTCATCCGGGAAGGAGAAGATCTCATCCTGCAACTCAGGTACACGCAGAGAGTATGGGTGCGTTTGATTCACTCATCGGGGCAGCCTGTGTGGATCTGATCTGGTGTTTGTCATTATTGTGGGTGTTTAAGGTTTGTAAAATCTACAGGGTATGTTTCTTTTAAGCATCAAGGCAGCTGTGTGGCACATGTGATGTTCGTGTATGTATTCTGTGTGGGTGGAGTTGGTTTGTTTCCAGCTTTGTTTAACCTGTGTAGGTGCGTTCATTTTGTAGTTTGTATAAACTGTGTGGGTGCGTTTGTTTTCAGGTAGTCAAGTCATTTTTATTTTTACAGCCCTTATTGCACATCAAAATTTGCCTGAAGGGACTTTACAAACTTGACAGCATAGAACACCCTCTGCCCTTCGAGGCAGCCTGTGTGGAAGCGTTTTTGTTTTCAGGTTTTTTCTAGCTTGTATAATCAGTGTGGGTGCATTTGTTTCACTGTTCTGGGCAGCTCATGGTCCTGTGTGGAGTTGGTGTATGTAAAGACTGTGGGTGTTTTTGTTTTCAGGTTCTATAGCATGTGTGGGTGTGTTTATTTTATACTTTGTATAATCTATGCGGGTGCATTTGTTTTCGACTTTATTTGACCTGTAATGGCACATTTGTTTTTAAGTTTGTAAAGTTCATGTTCTTGGGTTTGTTTAACCATTTTAGGTGCGTTTGTTTCAGGCCCCAGGGTAGCTCGGTGGCCCATGTGGAGTCAGTGTTGCAGCAGCTGGAAGAGTCTCATGTTCAGTTGGAGGAACTTTTCCACCAGAGGAAAATCCGATTGGATGTTTACCTGCAGCTCCGCATTCTGCACCAGTGCACACTGGAGGTGCAACGTTTATGTTTTTCATTTACTAATAATTAATACTTTATGCATTTCATTTTTTTAACCTCCTTCCGCTGTGTCAAGGTTGGATTAATTATGTATGTGTGTTTCGTAGGTAACCGGGGAAATAGATGCCTGGAAGCAGGACCTCCAGAAACAGTCCCAGGACTTCTCAGCAGAAAAGCTAGCATCGCCACGGCTAGCCGATGCAAACCACGACAAGCTAGCCCAGGACAAGCTAGCATTGGGCCAGTCACGGCTAGTGGAGGCCAGCCCTGAGGTGCTAACGCTAGCACAGCAGCGCATCCACAGGTAAACTGACCATTGTGATGACGTCATCCTGGCTCAACACAAAAATTGCTCATAGAAAACAGGCCATTGCAGGCTTTGACTGATTGATTGATCTGCAGGCACATGGAGCGAAGGCTGGCTATGAACAATATGATCTATGAGGTCATCCAACAAGGTCACGACCTTCAGCAGTACGTCACTGAGGTCCAGGCATCGGGTAAGACACACACTTCCGTACAATTGTACTGTAATTCTAGTAATATTATATTTAATGCTACCATTCCTACTACTTCTACTTACGGTATGATTAGTGCCGCTACTGATTAGTAATGTGATTACTTTCACAGATTACATTTGCTGATCTGAAATGCAATTAACAAGGGTGTGAACAGGGCTGAGGTCATCGGATGAACAGAAACGTTAAGCTGAGTGTCATCCGCGTATCGTCGTGAATTTACACCATTTTTTTGAATGTTAGAACCTAACGGCAGCTTATATAGACTGAAAATAAAGGGAACTAGGAATGAGCCGTGGGGTACACCACAAGAAATGAAATAGAGACAACACGAGTCATTTACGGGCTTCCAGCAGTGTTTTATTGTCTTTCAGAGTTTCTTGACTTGTGCTTTAGGGAGTCCCAGTGGTGTTTGATAGAGCTGTGCTGGTCCTTCAGGGAGCTCTGGAAGTTCTCTAACAGGTTTTAGAGGCCACTTAAAGGCTTTCTGGACAGTTTCCAGAAGCCACTTTTGGGACTGCAAAGGTAATGGAGGAGGAAGAGATCCTGCAAAGGGTTCATGTGGTCCATGAAGAGCTTCTAAGGGTTTAAATGCTCATTGAATGGGTTCTGGTAGTCCCTAAGAGATTCCCAGGAGTCACTGACGGGGCTCTGGTGACCTTGAGATACTTCCAGGAGTCTTTTGGTTAGTAGTTCATAGTTGGTTTGTAGTGCTTATGAAGTGGGTTCCAGAGGTAATTGAGTAGTGCTGCAGTGGTCCTTGAGGGGGATCTAGAAGTCCCTACAAGCTTCCAACAGTTCTTTAAGGGGTCCCAGGGATCCTTGAGAGGATTTATTGTATCATTAATCACTATTTATCGTATTTGTTATTGTATTTTTATTGATACATTTATTTTATTTTATTGTAGGCATTTGATGTGGACAGCAGAATTTCAGTGTACAGGGAAACTTGAACATCTGACAATGAACACTTTGAATCTTGATTTCACTGACCCTTAAGGAATCTCCAGAAGTAACTTTAGAGACCTTCAGGGACTTCAGTGTATCTTTCAGTGTGTTCCTTGGTTGTGTTCAACAAATTGCCAAGGGTTTTCAGAGGTTTCTGATGAGATTTTTGAGATTTGGACATTCAAATTCTCACTTCGGTCTAAAGAACCCTTAGGGATTTCCATCTTTAAGGTTCCTTGAGAAGGCTCCAGGAGTCTTTTATGTGTGTTACAGGGGTCTCTTAGGGGAGTCTGGGGGATTTTATGAGTCTTTTTGTTGGTTCCAGGGGTCCTTGGGTGATTTTTAGTGCTCCATAATGGGATTCAGTGGTTCGAGGGACTAAAGTTCCCCTTAGGGTTCCACTGGTCCTTGAGGAGTATTCAGAGATTGTTAATAGTTCTCCACTGGTCCCTAAGTGGTTTCAAGGAGTCAATGACAAGGTAATAGAGCATTGAGGGAATTCCTTGACTTTTTGTGTCCTCCGGTTGTTTCTAGTGCTTTCAATTAGGGTTCCAAATATTTTTAAGGGTTTCCATAGAGTCCTAAGGCTCCAGTGGTCCTTGAAGTCTAATATACTGACTGAGTTTACAGAGATGACTGAGGAGGTAGAGATTGATGAAAGGGTTCTTGTGGTCCTTGAAGTGTTCACAGTTTTTGGATTTCATTTTCGTGCTTTGGGGGAGGGGGGATGTTCCAATGGGATTTTATGTATCAAACAACCATAAACTGGCAAAAGGCCGAACGGGCAGAAAGCAGAACAGTTGACAGTTCAGAACAGGTTTTCATATTGATAATTTTTCGTCCTCTGCTGTGAAAAAATAGAACAGACCAGAAGTCAGTCAGCAGATTTTAATGCTACAGTGCAGCATCCGTCGGACCAGTTCAGTAACACACACATGATATTAGAGGGGAAAGGGGGGTGGGGGGGCAGAGAGGATAATGGAGGGAGGGGGAAAGGGGGATGGGGTTGCCATGGAAACTGCTCTCTGAAGCACACAGCTGGTCCCCATGGAAACCAGGGTATTGAATTTGTCATGGAGACACACACACACACACACACACACAGACAAACGAATGTGGATTAAAACACACATAAATACAGTTGTGTTACTATATTTGCGAGTACCGTAACAGCCGAAATGTCTTCACTCTGAAGGTCTAACAGTGTGTGTGTGTGTGTGTGTGTGTGTGTGTCAGGTATCGAGCTATCGGAGGCAGAGGGGGGTCTCTCCTCTCAGGTGGAGGAGCTGCAGCACCTCCTGCAGGACAAACAGAAGGAGATGCAGCAGATTGCAGATCACACACACACACACCTGGAGCAGAACCTGCAGCTGAGACACCTGCAGAGCCAGGTCAAACAGGTAACACACACACACCTGCAGAGCCAGGTCAAACAGGTAACACACACACACCTGCAGAGCCAGGTCAAACAGGTAACACACACTCACCTGCAGAGCCAGGTCAAACAGGTAACACACACACACCTGCAGAGCCAGGTCAAACAGGTAACACACACTCACCTGCAGAGCCAGGTCAAACAGGTAACACACACTCACCTGCAGAGCCAGGTCAAACAGGTAACACACACTCACCTGCAGAGCCAGGTCAAACAGGTAACACACACTCACCTGCAGAGCCAGGTCAAACAGGTAACACACACTCACCTGCAGAGCCAGGTCAAACAGGTAACACACCACGCACAGCTGCATTTGTATCTACACCTGTCTGTCTGTGTCTCAGGTGCTGGGATGGATCTCAGAGGGGGAGGTCATGCTGTCGTCCTGCATGTTGAACTCCAGCTGTCTGTCTGAAGCCGAGCAGCTGCAGAGGGAGCATGAGCGCCTCCAGCAAGCCATAGAGGTAACTGCACATACACACACTAAAACATACACTAACACAAAAAGACAATACATTACATAAAGTGCATTTTGGGATATTCAGCTGAGAGCTTGTTAACAAATGGGAGGATGAAGACGATGAATCAGTGACCCTGCCCTCATGCAGAGAGGGAAGATAATCTGTCTGCTGTCCATCACAGCAGACAGATGTAAAGGTTACCATGGCAACATGTAATTTCGATGGAAATTAAGTCCACACACCTTCCTTCGTTCCAGGCTCTGCTCCACGCCGACTCCCTGCAGAGGACTCATCAGGTGGCTCTGGCTCTGCAGCAGAGAGCAGAGCTGCTGGTCAGGTTAGTTGATGTCTGCACTGCACTATTTTTTTTAATTTAACCAGACAAGTTAGTTAAGGACAAAAAAATGTCAGGACATCCTCTTGACGGGACAAGGGAATAAAGAGTAAGGAAAAAATATACAGACTAAAGAGACATAACATACAGGAAACATTGCAAAACATGAACAAGACCACATTTCACAATGGGCAGCAGGGCAGCATATGAACAGAAAGGGCCGTGGTGACAGCAGTGTCGATGACACATTTTTTAAAATGAAAAAGGTTTTAAAAAGAACTGCAGACCTCTGTAAAAATGTCTTCAAGAGATTTCCTAAAAGCAGATAAGGAGATGAAGGTCTCTCTTCTAAACGTCATTGTGAAACGTCAGAATTTGGTTAGATTTAGGCACCAAACCTTGTTAGGTTTAGGAATAGATCATGGTTTGTCTTACAACATTACTTAAGTAACTTAACTTACATAAGTTAAGTCACGTTACTTGGTTACTTTATGTATGTAGTCTTTATGCTAAGCTAGGCTAACTACATCCCGACTCCAACTCCGTACATAACACACAGACATGAGACTAATATCCAATATTCAGCACTTTCAGTTAATGGCTGATCATCAGGTAAAAATACAAGTTTCCTCTGGAGTTGTGATTAAAACCAACATGTTAATCATCATCCAGAGGTCCTGTATTAAGAAGTCGTCCCAATCATGTGACCTCTGACCTCTGAGTCTCCCCCCTTCAGGTCAGGTCACTATGATCCAGATGGAGTGAGGTCTTGTGCCCAGACGGTGGCGCTGCACTGGCAGACTCTAATGCTGAGGATTGAAGACAGACTCAAACTGGTGAACGCCTCCGCAGCCTTCTACAGGACATCCCAGCAGGTACAGCTGTCTGTCTGTCCTACCTTACTACCTGTCTGTACGCCTCTCCACCCACCTGTCTGCTGTCTTTCTCCAGGTGTGTGGGGTACTGGAGAGTCTGGAGCAGGAGTACCGCCGGGAGGAGGACTGGTGTGGAGGTGGAGAGAGACAACCGGAGCAGCTCATGCCACTCATCAACAAACACATGGAGCAGAAGGAGGCGTTCCTGAAGGTGAGGAGAGCTCGAAAAGAAAAGCCTTAAACCCCCTCCCTGAACCATCCAATCAGAAATAAGCAACCATAACTGGGCACGGCAGCTGTCTTTTAGTGAAGTGGTTTACATGGAGCATGAATGATGTCTTTATAACCTGTATAATACAAAAACTAACGTTTGTCTGTGCTAATGTAAGGTAAAACATTAGCATGCCTGGCTAACTAGCTTAAAAGCTACAATAGCAACCCAGGGTTACTCCCAAGGCTAGTTTTCCAATTATTAGCTAACTTAACTAAGTTTGTAGGATTTCAAGTGAAGTCAGAAAATAAACATGTTTAGGACCCACTGTGTAGGAGCCGGTCCTACCATATCAAAGTTTAGGCTAATGCTAGCAGCTCTGTCCTGCTCTTTATTGGACCATGTACTCTGGACAATACTCGTCCTGATTATCAGATACTTTTCTCTTGTAATCTCTCAAATGAAAACATAAAGCATAAATCTAACATCTTGCCCAAGTATATCTCTCTATAGTTAACATCCAAACAGGGTTATGATAGAATGAAATAACAGTCTAACCTTTCACACGCTAGAGATAACTAGCAACAATGCTGGTTCTTTTTTATCTATATATTTTTGTCTGCATGGCTCATCAGCTGGTATGATGACTTAGTTTTAGCCTCAGTCTGTTGGCAAGATATAAGGTGCATATTTAAGAAGCGTTTCCTCAACTGAAGGAGTTAACGGCTAATGTTAAATAGCTAATGCTAGCAATCTGGAGCTAAAAAAAGTTTTCATTGAGTCGCGGACTAAAAATGAGAAGTTTGTTTACTTCTGTCTGGATTTAAGGACCCACTGTTTAAAACGTCGGCCTTTGTTATCAACTTAGGAAACTGTCTTACATAGTCTTTAATTGTTTTGAATGTTGTCTAAATATAATATATAATATAAATATATAATGGTATTTTGTGATATCTGAATATTCTTGAGTATTTTTGAGTAGTAGTAATGTTGTTAAAGATGTGTTAAAATGATCTTGCCTAATAGGAAAATTCATTTTGTTTAATTGTATTTAGTAGCTTTGAAAAGTTTACGCTAGTCTGAGAACGTCTTGCGTAATCCCAAATATTCTTTGATGGTCTTGAACAGTCCTGAATTGTACATAGAACAACCTCATGTGCGTTTCATAAAAGTCACCATGTACGATGTCCTCTAACAGTCTTGTTTCTGTGGCGACAGGCCTGCACTCTGGCCAGACGAAATGCTGAAGTTTTCCTCAAGTACATCCACCGCAACAGCGTCACGATGGCGAACATCTCAGGCCACAGCGTCACCGTCTCCGGGTAACGGGGACCGAGGTCACGGGGCACTCCAGGGTACCAGAGCAACAAGTCAAAGGTAAATGAACAGACCCCACACAGAAATACACAAGTAATGTGAGTGTTATAGAGACGTACAGTGGAACCAGTATAGAGCCCTGAGGAACTCCACGCATGATTGGTTTGAGTATATGTGTACACCAGTGTTCATTTTAATGATCCGTGTGTGTGTGCAGGTATCCTCAGTGAGTTGCTCCAGAGGGAAAACAGAGTTCTTCATTTCTGGACTTTGAAGAAACGTAGACTGGATCAGTGCCAGCAGTACCTGATGTTCCAGAGCCACACCCAGCAGGTACACAAAATCTGCAATGTCATTACGGTGACAGGAAATGCATTTTGGAATATTAGAGGATTATTAATGAATTCCTACTGGTGGCTTATCAATCACACAGTCAACAGAACAGACCTTGCATCCTTGTCAGTGGTAGAAGTACTCATATCTTTAACTTAAGTAAAAGAGGCTGTATTTAAAAATAACTAGTAAAAGTCTTGCATTCAAAATTTTACTTAAGTATAAGAACTATCAGCAAAATGTACTGTAAGTATCAAAGTAAAGGTGCTCTTGGGCCCCTTTGAGAGTGCGATATTGTTAAATATCACATAATTGGACATTATTAAGGATGCCTTAGCATTGATTAGTTTGACATGCAATGATCACAGCAAGCCGGGATTGGGCATATTTTTACCACATTATACACTGTTTGGTTGAGTTGCAACGATTAATTGATGAATCGATTAGTTGTCATTAAATTAACCGCCAACTATTTAATAATTGATTAATCACTTGAGTCCTTTTTTAAAGAAAAAATAAACAAATTTGTATTTCAGCTTCTAAAATGTGAATATTTTCTGGTTTCTTTGCTCCTCGGTGACAGTAAACTGAATATATTTGCTTTGAGGACCATTTTAGGACGTCTCCTCGGGCTTTGGAAACACTGATCAACGTTTTAAAAACTTTTCTGGACCGAACAACTAATTGATTAATTGAGAAAAAAATCGGCAGACTAATCTATAATTAAAATACTCGTTAATTTCAGCCCTACTGTTGGGTAGTTTTGTCTACAATGTGTATCACACTATAAATTGATCATGTGTATTGTGTTTAAAATTATAATCTGCAGTATAACTTGTATATTGAAGCACAGGCAATGGTCATTTCCTGTTTCGCTTCGGCCAATGGAAACCCTGATTTAGTATGTCTGGAAATGGTCGTTATTTATTGTGTTCTAGCATTTTCACGCTATCACACTTTAGCGTCACGCTCACTGCTTATAGTTTGTGAAAGTATTTATTGATGAACCGCAGAAGAACCGTGACCTCACGTTTAGGCTATTTTCATTAAATGGAAGAGTAATGAAACTGTTGGTTTCAGGCTCTGGATTGGCTGCACAGTCAGGTGACCACTACCTGGCCACGCACACATCGCCGGGCGCATCGGCGTCTGAAACACAAGAACTGCTGAACCAACACAGAGAGTTTTGTGTGTCGGCCAAGGTGAGAACACACACAACACACAAACACACACAACGTTTTCACCACCGCCATCACCACTCACCTGTCTGACGGCCTCTCAGCACACCCAGGAGAAGGTTCACCTGCTGATCCAGCTGGCTGAGAGCATGCTGGCTAAAGGCCACGCCCACCGCACTGAGCTTCGTCGCTGTGTTGCCACGGTGGATAAACGATCGCGACTTCACTGTCAGGGTGGGACAGTACCGCCACCTGCTGGAGACGGCGCTGGGAGGCTGCTCACAGGTCAGAACAGTAAAGAATGTTTTGGATACGGAAACCATCTGCAGGTAGACTCACCTTTCACTCATGTA